TATATATATATATAATATATATATATATATATATATATATATATAAAGGAAAAGAAATGAAGTTCCAGTGCAACGCTAGTGCAGAGAAGAACAGGCCTATTATTCATAATGTACAATGTATTTTTTTATTGCATATATATGAGCGAGTACGCGCGCGTGTGATGTATGTATGTATATAATATATATTTGTGTGTATATATAATGTACATCGATGTATAAAATTTTGCACAAGAAAATTTTACAATTACGAACATTTTTTGATGTTATTAACAGAGACAGACAATAGTTAGAGACGGTCGGCTTCTAATTTATTATATTAAACCAAATTATTTTAAACCGAACCAACACTGTCGCGCGTGCGACAGTGCAAAGTTTAAAGAAGCTGTCTCGAACTTAAGTCGCAATATTTTATGTACATACACAACCCAAGAAGTAATGTGAGCACCCGTAAGGAACATTCGCGAAGTGTCCGTGTTAAAATATGACGATGTGACTCGAATTACTCGTAGAGTAATGGAAATCAAGAGATGCACGTATTTTCTTATTGACTCAGATGCAAGTTTAGCAGAACGGAACTCCCCAAGAGTTTTATCCCTTTCCTACTATCGAAATTACCGTTGGAAGCGGAACAAATTCGTCATGATTCTTCGTGTATTAAAGCTGTCGAGAAAACAGAAAGAGTAAGCTATTTTTATTCTGAATCCGTCCATGTGGGGTATTTATATAATTATTATTATAATTATATAAATACCCCATTTATATAATTATTATTATAATTATATAAATTATACATATGTGTGTGTTGCATAGATATATTGTAGATGTCCGCTTTTGGTAGCGTACACACACTATACAATACTGTTGTGAGATTACATTATTCCCGATAATTATCCCGAGAGAATACAGAAGAGATGTAACCTTGGGAAGTAGTTTCACCCGTTAAATCTGCATCCTTATTCTATCTTGATTCAGTGGCATTTCATGAACAATATAAATGTCGAATGAATGAAGATGTATAATAAATAAGGACGCGCTCTGGCCCCAGAGGATAGGTGTGTCGTCGCGAGCCATGACGTGCTCATCTACATTCCTCTACACTCTAAAAAAAGGACTCTAATGCACTCCAGCGTGTATATTAAAAAAAGAAAAAGGAAAAAAAAAGGAAAAAGAGAGAAAACAGTTAAAAGCGTTCCACACTCGAAACTCTCCTACCCAAAAATTCGGGTCTCTATCTCAGTATTCAAGTATTCATTCGAAATAAACGATTTATTATTCAAGACAGGACAACGACGGCTTGCTGGTAAAGCGTAATGCGTTGTTCCTTCTGTCGTGTGTGAGCGCGTTTTGGCGGAGGGTGCTTTGTTCATCGCGTGACACAGATAACGCGGAAACGTTTCTCCGTTTTTTTATTTGTGTATACATGACAATTATTGGCCGAAAGATTTTAGGTAACTATATGTAAACATCTAAATGCTACTCACATCTTTTTTTTTCTTTTTACGTTACATTCTATCTCGTGTTTACAATGTAAACGTCACAACGTTTGTCGGTCGCTGCAAACTACACATTGTGGTTGTAAGGATTTACGTTTTACGAGTGTGTGGGTGTGTATGTGTATGTATGTGGATGTGTGTATGTATGTGTGCTTGTTCTCTCTTGTATCTCTTTTTTTTTGCTATAGAAATATGTGTAGATACATTGTGTATCTTTCTATTTTATTTCTATCGCGTCATACGCATTTGTATCGTAAACATTAGTTCCCGCGAAGAAAGAAAACCGAAAAAATGATGCAGCAAGCAGTTTTAATGCTTTTAAGAAAACTTTGCGTCTCTCTTGGAAACTGAAAAGTAAGAACATTTGTCGCATATCTGCATTCTTATTCGTCGAGACTCAGAAGTTATTGAAGTATATGTACATATTTTAATACGGCCACAGTTCATCGGACACGATCAAATTTAAAACGAAATTAAATTAAAAATGAAAAAAAAAAGGAAGAAGTAATTACGACTTAAAATGTCTTTTTCGTGTGTCTCCTTCGTAATCTCTTAGCGTATATATAAATTAAAAGCCGAAATGACGTAATTTCGGTGTTTTGATTTAGGTTTCATTAGCTTCTTATGATTCACCGATCACCTGCTGGAATTAATTTGCGTGGCGATGCAATGCATTTTAATTGCCTCTCTGCAGACGAGAACGTTTTACAAGGTAAGTTTTCTTTCCCTCGAAGATTTCACGATATCTACTTTTCTCGCTTAAATTTATTAATTTGTCCTCTGAATTGCGTTCTTCTCTTTCGTACATGTACGTGTTTTACTGAGTCTCGGCGATGTGAAAATTGTTTTTTTGTATAAATATCAGAAGATCGCTTTTGTCAATTTATTTCGAGCTCACTTTGACCGTCGCCACTTAAAGCGAAGCTGTCAATTGTGTAAACAACGTCGGTAAAGTTCATGTAAGTTGCTCTTACAATTTTACTGGAATTAAATCGTAAAAGTTCTTTGTCGAACGAAAGAAGCACCAGATATGAAGATATGAAAATTTTTTTTTCATGAGATTCCAATTCGAATTTCAGAGTGCAATAAAAAAAAATGAAAACTAATAAACACAAATGTGTCAGATTGTCTATGATTTTGCTATTTTTATATGTTGATGTTCGTTTAGTATAATACGCTGAATGTGGAACAGAACAGTCGTTTTCAACTCAACACTTCACATTGAGATATCGGTCGATTAAGTGACAATATAGTTTAAATTTTGCAGTTAATACATGGTAGTATCTGTAACAAGATATATGCAATTACGTTAAGGATAAGAAAGTTGTGTCGGGAATTATAATCAGCATTGTGAAAATAGATATACATTCGGCTAAATTACGCGCGAAACAAGGTAAATTGAAAGATAAATATCACTCTCAAATCTCACTCGAGGAAGTACTGGAGCTACTGCCCGCAGATGAAGTAGATGACGAAGTGGATGACGTGCGGCTACTGTTTGATTCATTAGCTGCCCTGCGATACACAAATAGAAATAATACATTATCAACAAATGAATCATAACAATTTACTGAAAACAATCTGGCTGATACAAATTTCTATAAATAGGAGAAGAGAGGAAAGGAGAAGCGGACAACCATGTTATTTTGCACAGAAGATCGTTTAAAATGACTTGTGTTTCTTTATTTTATCGGACTGGAGGACACTTGCAACTGCAAAAAAAAAATCAAATGAAATGAACGAAATCATAATTTCAAATTTTTGCATAATTTTTATTTTTGTACGGAAAAATGTTAAAAAAAAAAAGAGAAAGAGAAAAGAAAAAACAACAACAAGTTTCAATTCGGAGCAATTAGAAGTCGAACTCTCACAGCCGCGACCGCGTGTTGAGTCACGTGTGGTCTTTCAGAAATACACATATGCCAAGATAAATATCTCATTGTATCAACAAATATATATATATATCTTGAGGAAATATATATATATATATCTTGAGGAAAAGGAACTTACCTGAACAAAGCAGCTAAACTGGGTCCAACAGTATCTTGATTCGCTTCAGCTGAGTTCTGATCTCCCAAGCTTTGTCTGCAAATGGGACAAGTTCCATGCTGGCAAAGGAAAATATCAAATAAGTAGGGTTTACGCTCCGCGAGATACCGATGTATCTATATAAATTAAATCGACATTAAAAATGGAACATTTGTCAGTCTTTCTCAGCTTACTAATTCCAGCCATGGCACAATGCACGGTGCGTGATAGACGTGCTGACAGGGTAGCTGTCTAACTGGTTCCGACAGTTTGAAGTCCTCCCAACAAACGGAACACTGTAGTTTTGAGTCTGCATAATACCGAACGCTTTGATAAAATCTTGTTCGACAATTCGATATGTAATAAATTATCATTGCCATGGTTGTTACGCGTGAAATCAATAATCTGCAGCTTATACGTTTTACACGCATAATACATACATACATACATATATATCGCGAATTTAACTAAACGGACATACAGCGGACAAAAAAAAAAGTATTTGTACACTTCGTAATCTTCGAGTAATCGAGAAATGGAGAAATACTGCTACAATATACAATTACTAATGCATAAATTCGAGTGAAAATATACATATCCCGATAAGGGATATGTTCGCAGCAACGCAATAGCCTTTCCTACGCAACATTTACGTTGTATTTCTTACGTAAAATTTAGTCTAGAAAGAACAGAGTGTGTAAATACTTTCTTTTTCTCGGCTGTGTTACTTTGGATACTGACCGACTTGACTTTGCGATATGGTAGTTGTGGGTATTTCGTCGATCTGCTTGCGTGGTAAGGGCGGTGGTCCGGTACCATCCATTTGGTTCAACAATTGCGTAACAATAGCGTCTAATCCATCGCGACCCCAAACATAATCGCCGGGATTTCCCAAGAACAGGCTAATATCGAATCTACATTATTTCGTTATTGTTTTAGTAACGCTGAGGGGTAAATGAAATGTTTCTTTTAACAACTTGCTCCTCATGGCTGAATGAGCTTTCAGAATGTCTGACTGTCACCGCCACTGTTGAGAAGACATATTAAAATACGACGAATACGTGTGCACAGCTCTACGAGAATACGCACACGTCCGTAGCGGACGAGAGAAAGGGAGAGGGCGCACAAAGAGCAGGAAGATTAAAATAAACCCAAGTATGTACGGGCACAGAAAGTCTTCCCGATCTATGCTTACGACGACCCTTTTTCACTCTTGAGATGAGTGGAACACACTCTTAGAGCCATCTACGTTTCAGTTATATCTTGTATATTTTATCATTCGTTTTATGATTGATTTGTTAAATTAAGATGCGTAATTCTGTAAGCCCGGATCTATCTATCTACCTGTTGTACTTGCGAGTTACGATCTAAATTGCGATGGCTTAATATCAATTACGGGTAATCACAGGCAAATGGTATGGAAATGACTTACACAGATGGCTGTGCATCCTGTCCCACAGTGTGACCCAGACCAGTCGCTCCCGAGAGATTGAAAATAAAATCGTGTATGAAATTTTCTACGGGCACCGGTAAGGTTTCTTGTCTCCTCCGGGTACTGAAAGTTAAATAGAATTATCAAATTACAATTACAAACTTACTTACCAATTTTGTACATGCTATGTACATATATACATATATGAATAACCGGTACATTCTACGTCTTGGGGCACTGATATAAAAGGAAAAAAAAAAAATATTAAAGAAAGTCTTAATAAGTATTAAAATTTAAATTATCATATGTTAGTAACATGCACACATACACAATGTACTTATGTACAGGGAAAAGAAAAGCGATGTACCTGCTGCTACGACGTCCTTCTGGGGGAGTACGGTTCCAATTGGACCTTCTTCTGCTACCGAGCACATAATTTCTGCTACCTGCACCTGGTTGTTGATTGGTATTTGAAAGGCCCAATATCATATCTATTAAATCCCGATCAGCTGGATAACGTTGCGAAGACTGTATCAAGTAGACAACAAACAATTAGAACGATCGCAGGCGTATATTGTTATTTTAGTGCATTAGAGACTTTTCAATAGGTTTACATTGCTCACATTGTATCCTAAAATATCGACGTCAACATCGCTTAGATCTTCATTGCTAACATCCACGGTTGAGTTGCAGTCATTACTGCTGATTTCCAGCTCCTCGATGAAACCACTTGAGCATTGTGGACACGTGTAATTCTGGTGAAAAGATAAAATATCAATTCAATAAAATAATATTCAGCCACATGTTGTTCATTTTTTACATAATGCTTTTCCTTAAAATGAAACAATCTTTTTGGTAAAGATAGTTTCAGGAAAAGAAAGTGAGGTAGGGATAAGTAGCCAATTCTGTGATCTGATCAAAATAATATATATATATATATAATGGATGAAAATAATCAAAGAATAAATGGGTAGATTTAAGATAATGATCTTGTTTTCAAGGTACAAGGTACAACTGATCATTTTCTGCAAAGTCATTTTGCTACAAGAAGCAAAGGTATTCTTAATAAGTGCATTTTTCACAAGAAATACTACTGTTTGATTAATTAGAAGAATTTATTCAGTTCTCACTTATTAATTCCTCAATCACGATACAAATATTAAGGCTATATTATTTTATTATATTGTAATAATCAAATATCCTCACTTTGGATCAATTTATTTGGTCTGTTAGATATTTAAGTACATAACAATGTTTTTGTGTATATGTTTTGAGAATATTGCAATTACAGTAGAACTGGCCATCCGAATAAATTCAATTGGTTCAAGTTACTACAAAGGTAATTGGATGCATTGTTCTCACAAATATACAGTTCTACACAAGCAACAAATACCAGGGAACAGATGTTGCGAAAAGAGTCCCTTTTGATCAAAAGACAATTTCGAAGGCGACATTGTTGCGGATGATTCAAACTTTTTACAAACATCATCATGAGTAGGATATATTCGTGCTGTTAACATCCACATTGTTGGACTTAGAAATAATAAAGGAGCAATGATACAGAGGAAGGTTTACGCGACAAATGTGACACCGCACTTGCTGTCTCGTCGTTCGGTGCGAAATATCACAAAGATCGGAATATTCTCTCGCGTAGAAACGGACGAGAGAGGGAGAGAGAGAGGGAGAGAGATGGACTTCCCGCACGTTGTCCCCCCGGAATGACAGTTTCTCGTAATGATCGTCCCTTTATATGGCATTTGCCCGCTTAGGCGTGCCGAGGAGGCTCAGACAGGCGGTCGGGCCGTTGGGTGACAGTCGCGGGAATTATCATGATTTACTTACTGGCAACAAACGCTCAATTTCGACACTGCATTTGTGGCAAAAAAATCGAGATATCGGTGCTCCGTCCACAACGGCTTCCGCCATGTTTTACGTGTCCGTTTCTACTTCTCCGTAGATGTGGCTGTGCAGCTACACTTTCTGCCCTTAAAATAAAACAGATACACCATTTAGGCACGTGAGAGCGAGAGGACGAGCGCGCGCGCACGCACACGAGAGAGGGAGAGAGAGAGAGAGAGAGAGAGAGGGCAGAAGCAAAGTGCAGCGAGGTGTAGCTGGACGACAGACCTTGTATTTCGCGGCTAGCTGTTAACCAGCAACTCTAATTTCATCGGTCCACTTCAACGCTCGGACAAAGCTGATGACGTCCGACCACGCCGAGCCTTGTCCACTGTTTCCTCAGATCACCCAGGACTCGTTGTGAATAATCGTAGCGATTGTCTGGCGCGGACAAATACCACCGAAGGCAACGTGTATTATCAAAGATAGACAATTCTTATAGAGAATTGCGCAAGTTGCGTAGTGATAAAAAAAAATCCGATCTACGCTGACTAACGCCCTCTCGGTAAACTTACGGAGAAGCCGGAGAACGCCATATCTGCCATTATTTTAGCGACGATAACGTAAGTCAAAATCAGTTTAACTTTCACGACATGATGAGCGTACACAGCGTGGCGATGATGGAAGTATCTCGACAAGAAGCACAATCGACACGGGATATTCCAACGGTGACACCGTGTCACCGGGGAAAAAACTGAGAGCGGACATGTCCCCGATTTTAACGTTTTCTCGCTTCGAGGCGCCCCTATGCGCGTGACCTTGAACCGCACGGCCAATTTCCTCCGTCGGTAATATCGGAAAGCCCACAATTCTGGTTCCGCATGAGTTATATTAGGAATAAATATTCATTATTAAGAGTGAGAATCAGGAATATAATATGATTAAACATAATGCACGATGGAAAAGATATAGAAGTAGAACAAATATAGAAATTGTGTCATACATTGTCATATATTGTGCGCAGGGCCTATGTCGAAAGAGTGGAATGAAAAAATTGTTTTCAAATAAGAAAATTAAGGTCGGATTTTATACATAAGATTATCTTAAGTTCATTTTCGGATGTTGTACGGCTCATTTCATTGGCTACGAAACATATCGAAACCATTTATATTTGGCTGTATGATCAGCGACAAAATGATTGCATTTTTTTTCCGGCGAGTTTCTCAATGCACCTCGTATCTAATGGGAAAATGCATATCCTGAGAATTACTAAGAAACAAATTTTCCTACTGGGCACGGGATGCGTTCCAAAACTTACAAACAGTGTTGCAACCGTTTTGTCACTGATATTAAGTTGATTTAATTCTCCCCCGGAATCGTCAGAGTGCGCTGAAGGCGCACTCATTGTAATTGTCTATCTATACGTGGAAGATTAATCTTGGCCTGTCACGTATCGTCTTGTAAAAAAACGTTCGAAGAGTTCGATCTTGAAAGATTATCAGAGAAATATAGTTTAGTAATTTTTATATATTGCGTATATACGGTTTATCGTACGGATAAATTGTACTGCCTATTGTTCATTACCATGACATACTTACACTCGTGGGAAGAATTTGAAAAAGGTGCCGAGAGGTTATATCTGCAAGATCCGTTGAATGTATGTTTTACAACATGTTACTATATAGTCGTTATCATATCGTCATCATATTTATATATTTATTATATCATCATGTTCCTGGTATCGTTTGTATTTTAATTACCTATAGTAATGATACTTATTCAATTGCAATTACGAGTACATGTTTGTAGCAACAATGTTGGGGGCTTTTATATAGGGATCACTGTTGATATTAATTTATTAATATTTAAATTAACAAAGATAGCCACAATTATTTTTAATCGTGATTTAGAAGTCATTATAAAAGCAAATCTTATTTAAAAATCAAGATTGTTCTCTGCGTAATTTCTATCATTTGTAATATATAGATTCAAAAGTATATCATTAATATATTATATTATTATTATCTACTCTTCCACACAAGTCATTCTAGTGCAATGATCATACGAATGAATCAAGCCTTGTGTAGAATGTTTGTTTATATTAACTTTATATATTGTTCACAAAGATTATTTTAAACTAATTATATTTCTTATTGTATAAAAATTAAGAATATTTCTTGTATAAGCTATCTACAAGATTTTTTTGCTTTCTATTGCCTATTTGTGTTAAAATGGAAACATATACAAGAGAAAGCAAGTGCTGATATCGTATCATATAGTGTTAATCAAATCTGCACTTGTGTATCTTTACTGTAAATCAAATCTATGCTTCTTGCAATTGTGAATAATATTGAATAATTATTGGCATATTATATTTTCTTATATTACATCATGCTTTTCTCTCTCTTTGTTTCAGACTCGTTATACGATGAAATATTGTCACAGTAAAGGAGTTTTATGTCTAAAGTTAACTGACAACCGACGGGTAAGCAATGTATTCTATGGTCTATGGATATGTATTACTTAATATTCCTAGCGAGAGTAGTATTAATAGCAGTGACAAATAAAATTGTTTACAGTGCCTCCAGTATAGAACAGAAATAGCTCAGGACTTAAAAAAGATGGAAAAATTTATAGGCAACCTTATGAGACATATGGCATCGAAAGATAGCTGAATAAGCAAGATTCGTATGTATAGGAATTCCTTTTTTTACACGGAGAGCGAAACATTCTGTCTATGCAGTTAAGATTTTGTTATCTCATAAGATTTAATAACTGCGATCCACGGATATTAATTTTGTTCAAGGTACAAAAGCTTTTTTAAATATACAGTATATGCGTATGAAACTGCTTTATTATTATTTTTTCTTTTTTATTTTTTTCATTTAAAGTTTCACGATTATTTCGGATGGCCCCGTTGCCTCCTCGTTAATGTTCTGGAACAAACGAAGTTGTCGTGTAAGTCAAATTATGCGAGGTCGCTTCCAATTATTTATAGTGTATCGAATTTGTTGACATCCAAAGAAATATCGGTTATTATAAGAACATATCGGTACATATTGCGTTGGATATTAATGAAGCCAAGGTTCGCATCGAGCCGACATTCGGTTCGATGTTCGAGTAAAAAGGAAGCACAAAGCGAGATGAAAAACAAGCACTTACGATATAATGGGTTGAAGAACAGCGTCCAGAGTAGTGTCAACGTGAGGGTAGATTTCTTGATTTGAAGGCAGTTCATAGCGTACCTCTCCCCCTAATTGCAATTGTGTCTATACCAAACAAAACTATTTTTACTAATCTACCATTTCAGAGAGACATTCCGTATCGAGTTATTACTTCATAGAGAGAGAGAGAAAAAAAAAAGAAATTAAGCGAATTATGTGATTGTCAGCATGCAATTTGAGAATCGTGTTGCCAGAAAAAGTACGCTCGGTTCTAGTGCAGACGTCTTAGGAATTTACGAATGTAATCGAAAGCCGAAACTTATGTGTGAAGAATAGGAAGACCTTAGCCATACGTTTCTTTGTAGAAGCATTTAGTGAACTTGTAGGACACCGAAATGATGCTGATCTACGTGTACATACGATTGACATTTTGTAACTATTTCTCACTTTTCTTTACAGTTCATCATTTTTTTTTTTTTAATAGCAAGTACGAATCTCTCAGTGAGACGTGACGAAACTCGTCTTGACTTTAATTCACTTGCAAGCAATCGATATTTGGCAAAGCAAAAGACATTACGTTCGTTCGGCGATTAAGTGTCCTCAAGGAGATATTTACAGAAGACATTTAATCGCGTATCTCCGTCCCTTGATAAGCCGAGATAACATAATCAACAATAAGAAGTATGAGCTGATATATCGGTATACGTACTACGTGGATAGGTTTACTGCTGTCGGCGGAGCTTGAGCAGCAGCTTGAAAAATCCTGCGGCGTACTCTCCCCGAGTCCGCTGTCCGTATTATTGCCTAGAGCCGATAGTATTCTGTTGTTACGAGTATAATAAAAGTTCCTCCTCGTGCTACACTCATTTCGAGCGTCGGGGAACTTCACCTCGACTCGACCGTTGCTGGACGTTGTTGACAGCAAGTTATAACTTCCATCACGAATATGCGGCACCACGACTCTTCTCTCTCTTTTGCCAACAGATCCGACAGTTCTGAAAGTGAATCCTTGACAGTCGTCTGGCATTCGTTCCCAACAACAAGCACCCAGGTCTATTGCAGCTCCCACACTCTCTTTCTCTCTCTCTCTCTCTCCCTCTCAAATCGATGCGCATTCTTTTTTTCCTTTTTCCTCTTTTTTTCTTTTCTTTTTTTGCGGGTACAGTTAACGTACATATACATAACACTGGTTATGTCCTCGGGATGCAACGTCACGCCTCGTCAAACTCAGTAACCATAGACACTCAAACACAAAAACTCCGCTTACTATACATTCGCCTCTTTCTCTCGCGCGGGAAGTACCGCGTTAGGACCGCGTTTTCTTAAAAGCGTGATCTCTCGAGAGTACGAGGAGATTCTAAAAAAAAATGCACAAGATGCGTCGGGGATGTGTCGGGGGATCGAGTGGGATGTACGAGATACGCCGTCAAGGAGACTCGGAGACATCGGCGGCCGGTGCGCCCAGCCTCGAGTGCGCCCGGCATCGTCCACCCTCCCGGATACCAATATTTATTACAAAAACATACACGGCGCGTGCCGTATATATATATTATATATAACCGTACATGATGCAACGAGAGATCGAAAACACACACATACAATAATTACGAGACCCCAGAACGAAGGCGACCGGCACGCGTCGCCCCTTCGGAATTCCACGGAACATACAGCCAGAAGCGAGTGAGTGCCAGCTAGGACGTACAAAATAAACGAGGTGCGACAAGCAGTTAATCTCACTTATTTATTAAAGGGTTCGTCATGCTTTTCTCAAAATAAATAATAGGGGCATGCTTAAAGTAAGATAATATACATGCTCGAAATAAATAAAAAATACATGCAAAAAAGATATCATGAGGGATCGGGGGTGGGGGTGACTAAACAATGACTACGGATCCCGTCTCATCCTCCAATTGCGGAGGATGGCCGTGGGGGTTGCAGACCGTCTTGAGATCATCGTACCTAGGTAGGGACGATGAATCTATGTCGTCCAATCGAGAATTGTTAGTTTGTAACGGGGATTGCTGTACAGATTGCGACTGTACCACCGTGTAGGAGATCTCCCGGCGTTGTTGCTCGCTCATCCCGCTGGTGTCGACTAGGCCGAATTCCAGGTGTCTGAAAGAACACGTGTTTCCCGTTCAACACTTCCCCTTTTTTCTCGGGAGAAAAAGTAAATCGATAACTCGTTAATATTTATTCAAGTGATCGGGTTTCCTCCGACAAGAAAGTGGACTTTCTTTGCGGAAAATATTGGACGCTTTTTAGACAGAAGAAGGAGCTGTGAATTGTGAGTAGCTGTCTATGACAATCGTAACATTTAATATGCGATATGTATATACTTTCGAAGTTCGTCCGGTAGAGGTTGCTTTTGAGAAGGGCTTCGGTGTCTACTTCTGTGTCTTCTTCTGGGCTCCGTATGACTCACCTAAGGTGATATCGGCCGAATGTTACAAAATAATTAATCTTGATATTTGAATAATTTCAGTAGTACGAATCTTAAAACGACACTTACAATAGCCTTCTGCACGCCTTCTCCTTTTCGCTTCTGCACTTCCCTCCACTGCGGCTCCGAATCTACCAATTCGTGTCTGCTGTAAAAGACAACATGTCGGGCTCGATTGTTGTCGGGCAGTGTTTGTTGATCTATTTATTCTACCATGTAAAATCGAGACAAGTGAACTATTGTATAGTTTTACTGTGAAATATATGCAAACTAGCGACTTGATGTCAAGACTAAGTCTCAAATACTCAATTTACATTAAGGGCAATCACGCTAAATTTGTAAGATATTTAAATTAAATTCAAAGTTAAATTTCTAAAATGATAAGTCAGTCCGCATGCCTTGTTGCATTAGAATTAACAGATTCCAAGAAACAGGAGAACTATCCTCAGTCAAAGCGTTGTTGACGAAGGCGGTCGGCGAACTCTATTGTTTGCGGGAATGATACTCATTATCATGTAAAATTACTTTAATTAGACGCTAGTGCTCATAAGGGATATCCAGTTAAATCTATTTACGAGGGGTGCCTTACTTATGCAACAATGATGAGAACGAGATATTATCGTTATGAGAGCGAGTGTAGCGTTTCAAGTTAACACATAACCATCTACATACCTGGAGGAACGAGAGTTTCTGTGTTTCCTACGATGCTTCCGGTGGCCGGATCTAGTGTCCGAGCCCCTCGAGAGCTCAGACTCACAGTCGGAATGTCTGCTATGTCGACGGTGACTATGACTATGACTTCTTCTACGATGACCACCGCGACTATGACTATCTCCTGAACTTTGACTCTCCACCGAGCTACTTCGACGTTGGAGTCTACTTAAGAGCTGCGTTAGAGAAGAAATTACGTTTAACAGGTAACTCAATTATAAAAGACTCATGCAAGTGTTTTATCATGTGAGCGTAACTTTGTCCGTGAACAAAGTTAAGCAGTTCTTTTTTTCATATCCCATGCAGCACACTTTATCCAAGAAATATCCTGGGAACGTTCTTAGGACGTAAAACGTTCCTTGAAGGTCCCTTGCGGGACTCGTCGAAAAAGTGTTGTAATCTTTAATCAGCCGACTGTGGTACGGTGAGAAAACGAGCGAGCATGACCATGTCAACTAACCGCCGGTGCCGTTCCCGCGGAGCGAACGGAGCGAGGACTAGACGAGGTATAAAGGCCGCGAGGCTGGCTCTGCGTCCACGGTGCGCTTCTCGTGCTCCTCGGACTCGAGGTGTTCAGCTGCCTTTGAGTATTGCACAGAACGTTGCCGCCGGATGGATTGCTGCACGGGCTCGAGATTACGGTGACGGGCGTTTCGACGAACGAGCCGACCATCTCTTGGCCCTCGACGACTCGTCTTTGCGCCCGCCGGCTGGGAGTCCGCTGAAACGGCGGCGGATTTCGCCTGATAGCTGCGTGCTTCTCCAGAGTGGATTGCGGACTGTACGAATGAAAACGGGAGTAAGGGCTGAGAGGCGGTGGACCGGTCGCCATCAGCCGGAAGAACGCCTGATGCTCCAGGCAGCATTTCCAGAGGTGACGGCAGGCTCCCTTCGACGGCGTCTCAAAACCGTGCGTCCTCTCCTCGGAATTCTTCTCGCTCACTCGCAACATAAAGTACCTGCCCTGGAAATTAATGTACCAACTCGGTGTATAAAGGGATCATCCGAAAAATTTTATAAGTGAATATTTTTAATTATATTCCTGATAGTCGAACGTTCTTCCGCATCATCCTTCATCTAAAATCTGTCTCCAAGTTTGTATATTTTGATTATTTTTACATATATAAGTAATATTCTTAAGGCTCCTCCCTGTTAAAAAAAAAAAAAAAAAAAAAAAAAAAAAAAAAAAAAAAAAAAAAAAAAAAAAAAAAAAAAAAAAAAAAAAAAAAAAAAAAAAAAAAAAAAAAAAAAAAAAAAAAAAAAAAAAAAAAAAAAAAAAAAAAAAAAAAAAAAAAAAAAAAAAAAAAAAAAAAAAAAAAAAAAAAAAAAAAAAAAAAAAAAAAAAAAAAAAAAAAAAAAAAAAAAAAAAAAAAAAAAAAAAAAAAAAAAAAAAAAAAAAAAAAAAAAAAAAAAAAAAAAAAAAAAAAAAAAAAAAAAAAAAAAAAAAAAAAAAAAAAAAAAAAAAAAAAAAAAAAAAAAAAAAAAAAAAAAAAAAAAAAAAAAAAAAAAAAAAAAAAAAAAAAAAAAAAAAAAAAAAAAAAAAAAAAAAAAAAAAAAAAAAAAAAAAAAAAAAAAAAAAAAAAAAAAAAAAAAAAAAAAAAAAAAAAAAAAAAAAAAAAAAAAAAAAAAAAAAAAAAAAAAAAAAAAAAAAAAAAAAAAAAAAAAAAAAAAAAAAAAAAAAAAAAAAAAAAAAAAAAAAAAAAAAAAAAAAAAAAAAAAAAAAAAAAAAAAAAAAAAAAAAAAAAAAAAAAAAAAAAAAAAAAAAAAAAAAAAAAAAAAAAAAAAAAAAAAAAAAAAAAAAAAAAAAAAAAAAAAAAAAAAAAAAAAAAAAAAAAAAAAAAAAAAAAAAAAAAAAAAAAAAAAAAAAAAAAAAAAAAAAAAAAAAAAAAAAAAAAAAAAAAAAAAAAAAAACAGTCGCAGCCATCTTGATATCAATGTCAGAAACGAGAAAACAGGAGCTTTAAGTTTATATATTTTAATAATATTTTCCCAGTGATCATCTACATTGCAGAGAGAAGAGTCGTTGCAATATATATATATATATTTTATACCTTTATATTTATATATTTTTACCTTGTAATAAATTTTATTGATGCGAGGCCAATAATAATTTCCTACTTTGGTCTTGTTGCGTAGCAGTATTATCCCGCTCGGTGTTAGACCTAGGAAATACTCTACGTTATCCTCGCCCTGCCAACGAAAATTGATCAGATTTAGGCGGGATTAACGAGCGAACGCTCACGCGATGTCAATTACATAGGCGGTTTTTAACAATGGGCCCACTCACCAGAACAGGATGCAGGTCTACCCCGTACATTTCCAACCACTTCACCTTATCCAGGTAATTTAATTCCGCCGCCGAGGGTAATTGACCTCTGAAAAAAAGCCGTGGGTAAAGTAACACGATTCGGAAATTACGCCAGTTTGCACGACTGATTTTTCACGGGCGTGAGATGAACGATGATTCGAACGTTAACAATTTTGTGAACCGAGAGGCTACAGAAGCTAGAAGTATGGGATAACCGGATGAGTCGTCTACAGTGGCGCTTTGTTAACGCGCCCGCAAACGCTGAATAGTTTTGGGACACGCTATCTTGAATACTAATCATCAAGCTTGACATACATAAGAGTTTTATGGATCTCTACTATACGATTCTCCAGCTCCGTGGTTTGGTTGGCGAGGAACCGAAATTCGGTGACGTAACCGGGCGAGTGCCGTCTGGGATCATAATCGCCGAGTTCCGCTGAAAGAATAACGCGACACTCGGATAAGTGGAAGAGTAAAGCTTGTTCTACGATACGCCGTGTGCCGGAATCGGATGTCGCAACGCAGCCGTTGGCCCAATGAAGAGAACTCGTTCTTCATAAATAAATTCTCTCATCGGATCACCGGCTGTGTTCCGACTCAGACATACGGCGTATTGTAGAACAGGCCTAATCGTGTGTGTAAGGAATAGCGTATATCTTAAATTTTCTTATATAACATGTACCGATTTTCTAGTATTGCATTTGTAAGAGATCGTCGATGAATTATGCAGAGATGACCGATCTTACGAGACATCCGATATGAAAGATTTCTCAATTTTCCAGCGAGAAATTGATCTTAACTTCTACTTATTTTAATTCTCCTGTTAAATTTTCCACGGAAAATTCCTCGAGAAAGTAGGTAATCACAGCAATATCGGGATAAGCGCGATTGTCCCTGTCGTCGCAGCAAAAATTTATCTGGATTTTTTCTCAATTTACTTCAATTTTCCTGATAAATTTCCCGCAATGGTGGGGCATTTCTCAAGAAAATAGCAGCAATATCGCGATAAGTGCAATTGTTCTCGTCGTCACAATAATAATTGTGAAGGGGGAATTCGTGCAATTCCTTTTGCCCCGCTTCTCTTCATTACTCGCCCGTTATCCCGTCCGTTTCGCTTCTGCATAATGCCCTTTTCTGTCTCTCGCTGTGCGCGTACGTCACCGTTGAATGCGAGGAAGTGGCATTCACTCCGTCTCTTTTGGCAAACGATAAGACGCAAACACGAGCGAGTATTTTCGTTTGCCTTCCTTTTTCCATCCCTATCTCTACGACTTTGAATCTCCCTCTCAGATAACTAACGCGTGGGCCACGGAGACGGTATCCATGGTTTGCTCGTGTATTACCTGCGTCACACCACACACGCGCACGGCGTACGTGAGTTTCGGTATTCACTAGTCGTGCTCCCTCCGCGAAGTTTTTTCCCCCTTCGCGACTTTAACGCTCTATCCGTTTCTTTTCATCGTAAGGTGGACGATGCCCGGGCGTACGGCGTGCGCGCAAGAAACGGTGAGCAGCACGTGTGCGCCTAATAGATGTACAATATATTAGGGTAATAACTCACATTGAACAACGTACGCTCCCAATTCTGCGGCCAAATCGAAGGAGACGGGTAGCCTTCCCTGCAGGATGTCCTGCTTCACTTGGAGGAAGAACTGGTATCTATGGAACAAGTTGGAAATCTTGTTACGCTCTGATTCTTCATGTCAGGTCTCGAAAGATCTTGAATTGTCGGTATAGCCGAGCATATTGCAGCATGGAACCAATTGAAGCGAGAAGTGCAATTTTTTTTCATCTATTAGTTACAGAGAGAAAGAGGGGGTGGGGAGGGGGGATAAATAAGCGAGACAGTAAGAGTCGGAAACTGAATCATTTTTGCAGTAATTAATGCGATAATTAAAGACGCTATAACTATTGTTGTAATTACCGTTTATTACTGCGTCTTTAATTACCGTCTCACACCGACTCACTTTTACTTTTTGATTATACATTCAAGAGCCTCCTACACTATCCTGTTATAAATAAATTGCAGATGCAGATAGAATATTACTGTAAATTAGTTAATAGGATGTTATTCCTTTTTTAAATGCATTGGCGCAGATCGAATTAATAAGCTGTCTACCAAGGTGATGACTTATTATTGATAATAACTAATACATAAATAAATACTTTTGACGAGGATAAATTTCCGAAGGAAGAAACTGATGTGTCATTTAGATGCCATTTAAAACTTACTATCGCGATGCGACTATTTTTTGCCGGATTGTAAGAATTGGTATCGACGATAAATTAGTACAAGAGCGAGCGCACGAGCGGATAACGCCGGGAGAAGCGCGTTGTCCGGTCATGCGCGACGATAGACACGCGCCTACGTATGTATGTATGCATGTACATAAGGCGCCTCGCAACAAATTCGATGCACGTGGAATTCTCGTGCGTCCGCGACGTACCATGATGTCCCTGGAATTTCCTGGAATTTTGAGACGCCGAGCGTGAAAGGATCGTTTATATACGGGCGTGACGTCGAATAAAAATCGCTCGTGTTATACGCATATTGCACACGCGCGCGCGTTGAAGAAAAGAAAAAAAAAAACCGACACCTAAATTTTTCTACCGATTCTACATTATCCTCGGAAAGTTCCAAATTTATGTTGCAATGTTATCAGAGGAATCAAAAATATCAAAGACGGCATTGTAAATGTGCGAATAAGCGGGGTTAGTGTTCGATTAAGGAAAATATTTCACAAGACAGACTGTGCAAAAGTGGCATGAAGCAGATTGCTAGTCGTGTAGCAGATAATGGAATGGATCCAAAAAGAGAATGGCCTTTGGAAGGAATTACTGCAGCCAGCGACATATATCCCATTGAACGAGAATCCGGGGGATATACCTGGTGATCTCTTCGATGAGTTTGCACGGATCCGCGGCGTAAAATTTAACACCGAAGTAGAGAGTGTGAACGTCCGATCCGGGATCGCCTTTGTGAATCTTCAGTTGCTTACCGAGTTTCTTACTTTGATCGAGCCATTGCTAAAAGGCGTGTTGCGTTACAATCGGGGATCACTCACGTGATGAGCTATCGTTCTCGATAACACGGAGACTTTAATGAGGCGAGATTCAAACTAGCACCGATCTTCGGAGATCTCGAGAGAAAGAGAGAGAGAGAGAGAGAAATTGTTACGTTCACGTCAAAATAGAAACGTTAAATTTGCAAACTAATCGATAATATATTAATTTGCAAATTAACGATGTATTCGTTTCAAAATTGACGATGTATTCATTTCAAAATTACTCGATAATATGTTATTTTGCAGATTAATTGATAATATATTAATTTACAAATCATTTGACAAAGTATTAATTTCAAAATTAATTGATAATATATTATTTTGCAGATTAATTGATGATATATTAATTTGCAGATTAATCGATGACAATATCCTACCGTTTGATTTCCGTGATCGAGGTAACGTAACCCGAAGTAAGAGGTCTCCAGCAAGTTGAGGTGCTTGAACACTCTGTCCAATAGTTCTTGACCCAGGTTCGAGCTCTGGAAGAAAAAAAAAAAAAGGAAACGCATGTATACACACTTCACTCGTGTAGCGCCGGCGTTGGAAAACGCGTGAACGATAGTCTGTACAAATTACTCTAGCAGTTTTGAACGTGTTTGTATGAGCGTTTGCATGAGCGGCATGTACTATGTACTAATGAACCGCTGAGATTGAGATCCGGCGGAATGGGAGGAGACGACGGGTTTTCTGTTCCCACTGGTGTCGCGAACCGTGACGTTCGTTTGTTACCTCGAGGGGAAACTAACGGAGCCTCCCCCGGCTACATGTTTTTCATCATTAGATTTTACACGCTGGCTATTATGCGCTCTCTTTTGCATCGTGTACTTGGACATAACGACTGCGTACACGCGGAGAGGAGTAATAAATTTGATCGACTGATATTTCTTTTTCCAGAATACGGGCAAACGAGCGTTTTCACCCCTCCTTTCTCGATCGCGTGATACGTGTGTGTACAGACGGGTATATATCAGGCGAAAAACTAGAAATATATAGCGCGGCAAATTCAATCCCTGAGCTGCTGCGAACGCAAAAGAATAAGCGAAAGGAAACGCGAAGTCTAGTAAGCAGTGTAATGAAAGTGGCGGACGCGCGTTTAAAAGTATAGCAAGAAACTACCGAAGCGGTTAGAAGAAGCGGAAGAAGAAGGAGAAGAAGACGAAAGACCTCGCCCTTTTTTTCCGCCTAAGGCCTAGGAGAGCCGAGTATAGGTTCAGGAGATGGGTAATCATCTTCAACTTGCGTGTTCCGAGCGATCCTCCTTTTTTCCTGCGTCTCTTCCTTCCTTTCTTTCTTTCTTTCTTTCTTTCTTTCTTTCTTTCTTTCCTTCTTTCTTTCTTTCTTTCTTTCCTTCCTTGCTTCCACCGGTTATTCAGACGATTTCTTTCATTTTTCATACACGGTGTAATTTAAACATTTATTTAGGCATTCTAATCCTTCCCGCCTGCAGCTCGTTGTGGGAATCGAAAACACTACAACGCAGAAGGACTAGTCTGTAAGGCGCTTCTTCACGACCTTCACTTCAGTGAGAAAATGTCATTTGGACCGGGTCGCGCGCTTACGACGCCAGATTTTCGCTGAACGGTCAACGATCCTCGGCGTTCATTGTCAGACACGTACTGTTTGAGCTTCTTGGGACGAAAAACTTTACTCCAATTTCCTTAGGAAATTTATCTAGAAATTTCCTTGCACGGAAAAAAATTAGTATTAATTCAACACTTGTACTAACTTATACTAATTTTTCTTTGCGTAGGTTCGAAGAGCAGAATGACAGCCGAATCACTTAGATTCGAATGATTCTCCACTCGTACAGAGCAAATTCCCCACTCGAATATTCTCACTCGAAACTGAAGAGTCCCATTGTCGCAGGAACGGATTTCGCTCAAACTTCGATCGAAAATTCCACTCGTGCGGAGTCGGAATCCATTCTGAGCTCGAGTGAAACGTTCACCCTTGCGATTTCGAGTACGCGGTATTTTCACTTCGCCGCTTCGAGCGAAAACACTGCTGTTTTTCGCTCGTTTCGAGAGCGGGACATTCCACTTCGAGAAATTTAGAGAGAGAAGTGCGCGGGGAAATGAGAGTGGAGTGGCGCCGATTGTACGGGAGATACAATCGGGGGACATGATAATAATGGCGAAGTGGAAATAAGCAATACCTCCGGCTAACGACACGACAGCCACGGCGAGGAAGAGAAGAATGAGCGGCGAATCTCTCGCGGCGCGGCAAGCAGCCAACGTCGCCGCTTTGTATCGCAGATTCGTTTTTGCCATCTATCGTGACTAGGTACGACAACGTCAAGAAAAGCGAAAAGTCCTACTGTCCGTTATAGTGATCGTGAGATAGGTAGAAAAGGAAGAAAAGCCCTGTCGGATATCGCCAACGGCGAGCGTTAAGCGCCCTTTGTGTAATTGGTCGATGTCGAAGCGAAGAAAAGATAATCGGAGGCATGAGACGTAGCTGGAGATTCGTGGAACTTCGATAGGGTTGGCTCTCTCTTTCTTTCTCTCTCTCTCTCTCTCTCTCTCAAGCTTCTCGACTTTTATTTCTCCTGCAGATAGCTTCGAGAATTACCGCGAAATTAATACCCCGTGGATCGCCCAGCGTTCTTGTTTTCTACTCCCTCCCTCCCTCCCTCCCTCAAAATTGCCGGCGAAAATGTTGAGGTTTAATCGCTGGAATATTAATATTAATGCAAAAAGTTGCACGCGATCTCACTTTGCGGCGATGGTGGTGGCATCGCTTCTGTGATGACGCTTCTCCCACGTGTGGCAGTCGCGAGGTGCTCGACTGACGCTTCGCGTTAATTCAATTAAAATCGCGCGGAGAAGGAAGGTGCGAGAGATGACTGAAAACCAGGTGTCCGACATTGCGTCGGATAGCAAAAAAAAGAGAGAGAGAGAGAGAGATAGAGGAATGAAGAGTTACGTTTATCCGGTTGCTTTATCTCGGCGCATGATGATTCTTTCGCGCTGTTACGCTGTAGTTACGGAAGACTGGTTCTACGACCGGCGGGATATAAAACTGGGAAGATACGGACCTGTACGCCGGACCAGTATGCCGATAGCGAGATACTGCCTGCGAATATCGCAATATCACAAATGTCCGCAATTCCCGGTACCTCGCGGGAGCATCTTTTTCTCGTATGCCGTTTGATTCCACACTTTACTTCTTGCGTTAGTTTCTTTGGCGTACATTAATTAATCGCCTCATCAGTACATTATCAGATTTTGCATCTCTCGTTTTAAGCGATATCTCGCGAAATCAAGAGGGAAATACCTCGCGGGAGCATCTTTTTCTCATACATTGTCCAACTACATTGAGCATTGCTTTTATATTGGTTTTTTTAGCGTGTATTAATTCATCTCTCGTCAACCTTAATCAGCATATCAGATTATGTTTTATATCGTTCGTACAATAGTATATAATATCATATAATATTTCGTTAGAGCATCTTCCTCATACATCATTTGGCACTGCGCGTGCATCGGTTTCTCTCGCATGTATTAATTAGTCCAGTCGCTTCGAACGGTATACAAGACCATGGTTTGTATCTCTCTCTGTAAGTGATATTTCACGAAATCGACGATTTGCGATTGCCCTTGTGCACTTTCGCGGAAGAAAGAATACCCTTCATCATCAGCGAGAGATGCAACGCGATCACGCTCACGGTATCGTACCGTTCCGCATTTCTCCGGATCACTCGTAAACGATGCGGATCGTCGCGTCGCGGAATGCCCTCCCCCTCGGCGGATAATCTTCTCGTTCTTAACGCTCGACTGAATTTCGGTTTAACGCAGTCGGCTTAAGGGCGCGCGTACATACGTATATAAGACACAGAGAGCTGAGGATTCGTGCGGGAGATGCTTATACAGGCTCGGAATGTTAATCGACGAAATGAGCTAGACGATGAGGGAGAAGAGAGGAGGAGAACAGAGGGAGGGAGAGAGAGAGACGCGCCGAGCGCGCGGCGAGGCGCGGCGCGGTGCACACGGAGCGGCGGTTCCGAGGAAGAAGAAGAAAAAAGGAGGACGGAGTAAGGTTGAAAAGACGCGAGAATTAGTGTGCGGCACGGCGGCCATCGATGATGTGGAGGAGGTACGGCGTTACCCGGTCGTCGTGCAGTGGCCCACCGCCAATTTTGGTATATCGTCTAATAACAGAGAAGACCGAAAGAATTCCGGGTACCCCCGTGATAAGTTGTACGCGCCTTCTCTCTCGTGCGGAGCCTCGCGGTCGGCCATAATCCACCGTTCGTAGCCGGGGGGCACGAGTAGCCCTCGCCTTGCCAATCGGCACGGGACTACGAAACGACCATCTAGAAACGAGCTGCCAAAGGAAATGCTATTAATTCCGCTAAATTATAACTTGGCGTTTCGTATCGCGCGCGCGCTTACGACGCTCACGAATTATTGTACGTTGAGGTACAACGCGCTGCTCTCTCTCTCTTTCTCATGCGCGTACAAGGCGACTTTGGGTGCCTTCCATCTGGTGACACAAGTCGAGACAAGCATCATCCTATCTTTGTTACCCATTGAATGTGGAACAAAGACAAAATGATGCTTGTGCCGACTTGTGTCATTAAATGGAAAGCACCCTTTGTTGTTGAAACCGCGTTCCCCATCGTCCGTCGTGACCGAGCGATTTTACGAAACGTGCCGATCCGCGCGTCCTCGAAAATCGATAAGAATTGAGATCACCCGATTCACGATTTGAAATCGAAGTGGGAGGCGATAAGTGGGACATCGATAGGCGGAATAGTTCGTCGATTCAAGACCGGAGAGAAGCTCGGCTGTGATTCAGCGATTAAATGTCGGAGAAACGACGAAACCTCGTTGGAGGAGGACGAGGTCGAGAGAACGTCACGGTCAAGGAAAGATCGGCCTCGAATGTCGAATCGCGGGACGGTCGAACTTACCAAAACATCCTGCAACAATTCGTGCTCGTCCAGAAGTATCACCTTGCAGTGCAGAAGGCGAGGCCTGTTGCTCCTGGTCGGCCTAAGTCCAGGGCATAACCACTCCACCACCATCGCTTTTCCTCCTTCCTCAATTTCTTTCTGTATCCTTGCCTCGCGTGTTCAGCCGCTCGACGCGTTCGCGTTCGCGCTCATCCTGAAATCGCACGCAAATATTCTCAGTCACTGTCGCGCAGCCGGAAAGAGAAAGGATACGCCGATGGCGCGGGACTTATCATTTACCGATAAGAAATGTGTAATTTCGCATTTGCTCGTACCGGAAATTTTCAATCGGCGCACAGAGGGTCATCGTCTTCATAAATAAAAGATCACTGGCCTCACATGAGAATTCTTTCTTCAAGTCAAGTTTTTCTTCCCGGGCTCGCCCTTTCTCGCGATCTTCGTCTTTCTTCTCACGAAGTAAAATGTTAATTCTCACGGAAAAAAAATTTTAACAATACAATTGCTTCACGATGTAACGTCAAAGATAATTCAACAGGAAACTCGGGGACGGAGACGCTGAGGGATTCTCAAGTTCCAAGGCTCTCGAGACGTTTTTTTTGTTTAATCGAAATTTCAACCACGTATAAAAGCCGAAGATAATTTTGTACTCACAGCGCCGTGCGCACGATGACACGTGTCGCAGGTACGAGGTACAAAATATCGCGCTGTCACAAATAGCAGTAATCGATTCAACGCTACTCGCGTTTACCGTTAGTTTATAGTTCCTGCTTGAATGGAATGATTTCTAATAGACGCACGGACCGACCAGGCCGATGGTAACCCAATAATATACTCGGCACACGTTCACAATTTGAGGCGCGCTTGTAATTACGATAAGCGCGATGCGCTTCGCCGAGAGAGATTTGTAATTACAAAAGTGCAGAGGAACAATGATGAGGAACGATCGAAGACATCGCTCTCGCTATCTCTTCTCGAAGTTCTGCGTATATATCCTCTTACTTTCCACGCGGAGGAATCTTCCAAAACAAGCCCAATTCCACGATATTGTTATTCGAGATACGGCGTTATACCGCGGTCGTCGGATAGCGAGGTTTCAAGTATACCTTTTGTCCTCGCGTACGCTTGAAAAATTTCTGTACAATGTGCCCGAAGTGGCGAGTGCCATTGAACTCCGGATGAGCAGCGAGAGCGTAGTCAGCGTGGAACAGGTTTCGAATCCAGAATCTCTCAATTGGATTTAATATAGAGGAGATAATAGAAATCGACAAGTCTTGGCAGGAGCAATTTACGATTAACGGAGACGTTACGTTAAATACCTCTTATACTTCCTAATAAAAAGTCGGAAAGACGAGGGGGAAGTCAATTCGATGAATCTACGCTGAGTCGACGCTGAGTTCTATACATTGATTCATTCTAAAAAAAAAAAAAGAAAATATTAATATAGAAGAGATAATAGAAATTGACAAGTCCTGTCAGCAATTTACGACTGACGGAGACATATCGTTAACTACCTTTTCAGGCTTGGCTTTTCATTTTCTAGTCAACTTGTGGTATAGATTTAAACCGATGATAATGCAAAAATTGTGTTTTTCTATTCATGGTTAATCATTAGACTGATGGTTTTGCAGTGCTAACTTTTAAAGTTTAATGATTGACCGTAAATAGGAAAACACGATTTTTGCATTATCATCAATTAAGTCTAACCGACAGGTTAACCAGAAAATGAAAAATCGAGCTTTATAGTTCCCAATAAAGATGGGAAAGACGAAGTGAAGTCAATTCGTTGAATCTACGCTGAATTCACACCGAGACGCGATGGTATTCTACACGAATTTATCCCAAAAGAGAAAGAAAGAAGAGAAGGCAGAGATGAAGTGAGGAAAAAGGAGATTCCACGCGTGCAGTGTGCTCTCGTTGCATCGGCATTCGCTCAAATATTTACGTATCGCACACATCGGCGACGATTGACGGCGTCTTCGGGAATGGTCTCTCGGGATTTTGTTAATCTCTTTCGCGATAGTTATCCCTTCTCTCTCTCTCGGTTCACTCGTAAGCGTATATCGGCCGTCTCTCGCTAACGATCGTGTATATTTGCATGGAAATTCGCGCGGAACTCGTTACTTATCATAGGTGTCTCAGCGCGGAATGCGCGGCGAGGATGAAAAATACGAGGCTGAGAGAGTGGTTTTTCGACCCATCCAACTTTTCACGGGCGACATTCCAACGACATCGTCTAATTAGCACGCGCGATTTACGTTAAGTAAGCCGAGCGCGAAATGCACGCGGCCGATGAGCATTTTTCTCGATACCTATTCGATTTCGCGAGCTGCGTTCATACACACACACACACACACACATACACACACACACACACATCATCATCATCGGTCGATTGGAGGAAGAATAGCAGCGTTTCGAATTGTCGTACGAATGTATCGATAACGGGCGATTTTCTGCGATGATAACTGCCCCCTGCGAAACGGGTCAGATTTAATTGACGCTTTTCACTCAGCTCCGATGCCCGAAGTAGAACAGAAAATGAAACGCGAAGACGAAAACGTCAAAATGAGACGATCGGAAAGGTGAATTCGCATAGTTTTTCATTTTCTCGTCATTTTAAAGCGATCGTAATGTTCTGTTCCGCCTGGACGAAACAACGTGAACTCTGTGGCGAAATTCAATGTTATACGTGTACGTCACCTTGTACGTTGTGCGCAATCATAAACCTCGGACGTACTTCCGCTCGATTTTCCGTTACGACTCGACCGTCGCGTTTCGACCGAGTACGGTACCAACTCGGTGCATTATACAGGCGTCGTACCTTCCCCCGGATAGAACAGAAAATAACGATGACGTTTTCGCGGCGAACGAATGACCGAAAAAAATGACGGTGGAATTCGTTCTTCGAACATTTTCCCCATTATTTCGTCGTCATTTTTACGTCATCGTTATCTTCCGTTCTGCTTGGGCCCCCCCAAAGCCGTCGCTCTCTCAACCGAAATAACATTCGCGTACGCGACGCGAATGAAAGTTCGCCCGGAGAAAAATTCCCGTTAAATTTAACCGTCCCCCGGAATTGATCTCAACGTGCCGTGTACGTCTGTATGTGGGCGCGACGAATGAATCGATTTCCGTTTCTTTTTTCTAGCTTATACAATGCATCTAAAGGAGCATGGGTGTACACTGAGCGGAACGAACAGCGAGCGCGTAATGCGAGTGTATATATTCGCGTCCAAATGCGCACGAACTTTCATCGATAAGCCACCTCACGAGCAAATCGGCAACCGGATTATATATTCCGTTCGGTTTCATTACGGCGTAATAATACGTCTTCCAAATGGTAACAACGAGAATCTGCAATCGCTGTTCGTCCTCGCTCAGTGTGCACACCCGGCTTAACGAACGTAACATGAACGACACCTTAACACGATTCGAATCGAAAATGAAAATGAGCAGCATCAAGCGGACACTACGGCGATACCCCCGGGTGGAAGAGAAAATGACGTAGAATGATGGAAAAAAGAAATGATCGAGAAACGACTGGCACGGTAATTTTTCTCGTCACTTCGTCGTCGTCGTTCTCTGTTCTACCCGGGCCCCCGCGTCCAGAGGATCCCCCGGCGCATACCTTCGTTTCACGATTTACGCTCCGAATTTCCGTGGCTCTCTCCGGGAATCGCTCGGCCGGCACTTCCGGCACTTCCCGCACTTCCCGGCACTTTCGGCACACACCTGTGGCACTCCCGTTGCCAAACTCGGAGTCGATGTGCACGCCGGCGGTATAACTCCTGTCCGTCGTGACGACGCAACGTGCGCTCGCGGCACAACCGGCGAGTCGAGCACTCACGGCGTTTCACTTGGTACGCGCCAGGCATCCGGCATCCGGGACCCCGTCGAGATTCGCTGTCGCGCGCGTACGCTCCTACGCGTATATACCGGGACGGGGAAGGGGGGATATGTCAGGGGGTATTTATCGATGCGCAATCTCGCTGGCGAGATCGGCGCGTTTCGGCCAGGCGATGCACGCGCAGACGCGATCTCGCGACTGACAATAATACCGCGAATTTCTCGGGGGCGCGCGCGCGCGCGCGCGAGCGCGTATCTCACACGTCGAGGCCGGACGGCGGAGTTTTCAAGTAACGCGGCGCGACGCGGACGAGCGACAGGACTACGGACGAAGCAGCGAGCCGAAGCGAGGCGAGCGGCCAGCGACTCGCGGCGCTGCACCGGCGGAAAAAGAGAGGGGAAGGAAAGAGCGAAAAGAGGAGACAAAGAAGAATAGGCGGCAACGTCCCTGGCCGTCGTCATCTGGCCCGGCGTACTCAGTCGGGTCTTGTGTTTGAGATCGCCCTGAGTTCATCCTCAACTACTGTGTACGGATCGTATCATTGGCTACGATGCATCTGAAGATGAACTCGAGACGCTCCCGAATACAGGGTGTCCCGGAATTAGATCGGCGAACTTCGGGCGCTTGCAAGGGACACCGGAGCAAGTAACTTTTCGTCGATAAATGAGCCGCGTTTCGGCGGTGGAGCGAATTATTTGCAGCAGTTGCTCGAAGCTTGTTGACCATTTGTTTCGATACAGAGACGTCAGTAATTTCTTCTGCTCTGATTTTTGCTATTTCTTAGTAAAAGATACTAATAAAAATTGTTTCATCGAATTAAAAATTGTTAGGAATTTTCAAACATGTAGAATCTGTTTGTTATTGACTCGCGAGCTCAGTATTACAGCATTCCTTTGTTGTTTATCCGAAATTCGTCTTCAAGATGGAATTTTTTTCTTTTGATGAACTGGCTGACACGCATCTTATTTATGGGGGAGCCGGATGTAAATGGCCAAAACTTCGAACAACTGTTGCAAATAATTCATTTCTAGTGTCAAAAGGATTCAATTATGGGTTCATTGGCAGAACTTATTTGATTCGATGTCCTTAATAAACACTCGAAGTTCATGAATCTAATTTCGGGACACCCTGTATAAGATGATACGGCTCGAATTGAAGAGCACGTAAATCACGTCATCGATCCGGCGCTATCGGAGACGGTCGACCCCGCTCGAATTTTTGTTATCACCTGAGAATTCTGAAGACGGAGGAAATCGGAAAATCCCTTCCGGAACTCTGTTGTTATCAATAATTTTTAGTTGGCCGATAAAAATGTATAGATATTTCTTGCGTGTATAAGAAATATAATATTAGGTTTATCATTTAAATTATACTCCGACGTTCTGTAGGTTCGTATAAATCCACGATAAAGTATATTTTATAGTAGATTTTGCGAAACACTGCCCCATGGTTATCATCTATGCTGATGTGACACCAAACTTACCGACAGCAGATTGTTGAGTAACGAAATTTTTTAGCTACATCTAAACTTTTTTATCGGATGCGTTTCAAAATGCATTGGAAAAGTGTTGAAAATTCTTCTTCAGGGTATCTAACCACGGACAACAATTTGTCCTGAACTGGATTTAGTGAGGTTAGTCCGAAAGGCACCTACCCTGTTCTCACTAGGAGATACGAAAATAGCGGCTGCACTGTGAGAGAAGAGGACAGAACTCCCACACGTATATCTCTCTCTGCCCGAGTTCTCTGTCACAAGTTTCACAGAGAAGATAAGTTTCAATTGTTGCTCTTCAGCAAGAGACGCGAGTCTAGTTATATCGTTATTTGTCCTTATTTCGCATTTTGTAAACAAAAGAAGAAATTATAGATTATATAATTAGAGACTAGTATCTCGACTTGTGTCTCGCTGGAAGGCAAGTATTATCATAGCTCGATGGATGAATGCTAATTACATTGAAATCACAAACGTAGATGCCATCAATGCAAATTTGCAATGAATATTCTGGGACGCATTTGAGATCGTCATTGAAAGAAAATTTGCGATGCTCCTAGTAACTTTTCGCGTAACATTTTGTCGAGCGTGCCGAACACACAGCAGATTCGTGTGTTTGTATATTTAGTGAAGGTTACTACGTGGTACGCGTTGGCATGTTTATCCAATTTGTATAGTCTGAACGAGTTTGTACAATCGTCGCGATGTGTCACGAGTACAACGATCATCACCAATGATAAACGCTCGTGTATTTATCGGATAATACGTGCGAAGCTGATTGTAACGTGTAAAATGGCGTGGTTCGGAGACGGCTTGGCTAGCCTCTCTAATTTAAAGGGACAAATCACGAACTACGCGCAGAATGTTCTGTCTGAAGGCATCGTCGAGGAAATGGGTACGTATAAGTGTGCTGACATTGCAACATGACTCCAAATCTTTGCATTTTCGTCGATACCTAGTTGATCAACAGAAAGATAGGTTACATCTGTCAGATGATGGTTCTGTTTTACCGACCAAGAGACCCATTTAACAGCTGGCGGGAATGACTATTCGTATGTAAAATTATTTTGTATTTTCTTACGGTACACCGTCGAAAATAAATGCTTATTAAAAGCTGATAAGTTTTCGCAAGGCAACGCGTACAGGCGCGATTAAAATTTTGATCGAAAATGTGTGTATTTTGTGAATTTATATCATATTGAGTTTTATATTTGAATGTAGCAAAAAATATTGGATTTAACTATTTCTGTAGACATTATTTTCTATTTTTTATTCATCGAATTTCTGCTCCATACATTTTATAGCGTATTACTATTTCAATTTTTGTAATTATTTATAGTAATCTCTGTAACAGTTTTTATTTTAACTTCTATAATATAGAGTCATTATTTATTGAATGTTTAGAAAACACCATTTGAAAGATATAATTAAAAGATATAGCTTAAAACAGGACAGGCTTAAGTTGAATCTTGCAGAATTAGATTTAAAACTGTGAAATGAGTGGTATGAAACGATAACGAAAAAGCCTATTATATATTTGATTCTGCTATAAGAATTGTTGTAATCTTGTATGGGCAGTTAATTAAATGTACATGAACAGTCAGAGTTAATTTCCAGAGTCTGAAGCAGACATGAGATAAAAGTCCTTGACTATTCTGACTTTAATTTTGATTCTGTTTGCATCAAGAATCCTACAGTGAGATAGATTTTATACTTCAAAAATTTATATACAAAAAATACAAAGCATATTTTTCTGATTTATTTTCTAAAATATAAATAAGTTTGAATTGGGCATTTTCACTACATTTTGTCAGAATCAGAGGATACACCTTTTCAAAACTATAGTTTTAAGTTTGATGATTCTAACGAGTAATACAATTTATAAAATTTATACATATTTATAAGTATTTATATATATTTATATATATTTATATATATTTATACATACTTATATTTCATAATTGTTTAGAGCTATAATAATAATAGTAGTAATTGTTTGGTTGTTATTTTTTTACAGACGAGCGATCCAGGGCATTGAAAGAAGCGAATGAAAGATGCACTCAATTGGAAGACTTGCTCAATAGCAAAGATGCTGAAGTAAGTATATTTTTATATCAGAAATTTGTACTTTTGTTTTTTTGTAAACGTCGTTTTTTATTTGTATTCTCAAAAATGTATATTAATTAAATATATTGATTAAAAGATATATATATCTTATATCATCTGATATCAACGTATAATGATTACAATCGATTGATCAGATGATAAAGTCTGGAAGAATCAAGAATATTTTTGCGGAAAACGATATGAATTAAATTCTGTATGCGTGTGTGTGTTTATGTTTATCACTGTGATGAATCTCAGACATTTAACAACAAATTACAAAGATTTCTTAAATTCCAAGCACTTTTATATCAATAGTAAGCAACGATTCTGCCCGCTACTTTCAAATCATGCTCAGTAATAGTTCTCATAAATATATACTCCATGTTGAAAGTCATTCGATATGCGCACAGATGTCTGCTAGTCTGATAAGCATGGAGTTACATTGTGATTAGAAATTATTTTAACAGATGTCGCGTTCACTCTAATAATCGTGAACGAGTGTAAAGCAAACACGTGCGCCTTATCCGTTAATATATTACTACCTGGAATTCTTCAAATCGCGTTGAAACAGATCTCGAAGGTGTAGGCGTCAGAATTAAAATGTTAAAAAAAGAGGAGGACCGAGTTGCAGGTTTGCGCGAAGAGGGATAGAATAAGAGAAACGAATGAATCGGTGAAACACTGTGGTGTAATTACCTACACGACGAAACACTTTCTATCGTGAACGACAGTCGAGAGGGGTTTTGGCGGCACATACATACTAGGGGTCGTTCAAGATAACGCATCGAGAATCGGAAAGTGGGGACCGTTATCGCAATACAAACACAAGATAAGGGCAGCAAATGTAAACGCTCATCGTGCGTCCTGTATCCACAATGGTACCACCGGACTTCCTTCTGATTGTGCTTCCTAATATTTAAGGCGGAGACGCGATTATCTCGACCGTCTAGAGTTGAGGAAAGCATTTTTTTCTTCGTCCGAAATTGTGCACATCTTTCCTATTCTCAGTCACGAACGATGCCGTCTTCCTCCGTCTAAAAAATCGCTCGTGTCTTCTTTTGTTTCTCGTTGGAAATTAATGAATTTGCGTTTCGCCGGTTCGGTAAATTACACGCATGTGCGTATGTGTATCCGCGTGTGTATTCGGTGTGACATTATTTTCTATGTTACTTTAAATTGTAGATTATTATTTTTACCTGCACCTACCTCTTAGGCGAAGTGTCTTTACTTTTCGAGTAAGTACCTATTTATTATTTATTAGTGTCTGTCATACATGGATTTTATACCATGACATTAAACACACGCACGCACGCACGCGGAGTTCAAAAAAGAAAGAGCAAAAGAATGTATCGATTGCGATGGTCGCGATATTATTATTTCATAGTGCTGGTTCAACGATAACAGGCTTACAAGAATTTTATCTCGTGCACAGATTTCTCTCCTGCGCCGACAAAATCACGAATTGCAGATCGCTGTCGTCGAAATTAACGAGAAATCCAAGGAATCGGTAAGTTCTACGTTTAATTATATGTTTAATAATTCGTACACTATACGTTTTCAAATGCAACCAAACTTTTTTACGTGTTTAAAATGGTTTATCAAACTGTACGTTAATTCTAAAATACTCATTGTCAGTTTTACAGTTGCCACGAATAGATATTTTTCTCCAAAAGTACGGGGAAAGAGAGATAGATAGATAAAATACGTTTAACGTATATTCGTGAATATATTCAGGGAAAAACTTAAATCGTTTCAAGTATTTCATAAGTTTATATATCCGCAGGTATATCATAAGTTCATCATAAGCATCACAAATTTATCTAAAATATATCCTGAATCCTAATAAGTTTAGTACTTCAATCAAGAATATTAAAACACTAAAACTAAAATTTCAGTTTACTTATTCAAATTAACCGAATATAACTTTCCTTCGATAAAGTTTATAATGTTCTTAATAAGACAACAAATTCTTTTGACTAAATGATAATGAGCTTTTCATATTTGTGATGAGTATATTTTAATATTATTATTAAAAAAGTATTCTTTATTCAAGATAACCATTAAAAGTGGAAAAATAAACTGAGTAATTGTTTTCCTTCGTAATACAATAAAAATTTTTTTCTACGTACAATGTTGGTGATAATAACTTTACGGTTTGTTTTCGCCGTATGTCGAAGTCGGATGTCGGAGTGTAGCGGACGATCCAATGAGTGAATTTACTTTTGGGGAACGAGTTCTTCTCATTGGACCATTCTCATTGGCTGCGTTCCGACATCCGACATACGGCGTATTGTCAAACAGGCCTACATATATATTACTTCTATTATTTTTGTAGTTAAAACCATAAGAAGGATATAGTTGAGACCGGAAATAACTATAATTCCTCTCAGTATACGGGAACAGAAACGATAGAACAACGCGTTCAGCGTTTCTTTCCTTCCGAATGGAACGAGCGAGCGCGCGCACGCTAAGCGCGGTTTTTCGCGAACATTCGACGCGCTAGTTATCGCCTTTTCAAATGTAAGAGAGCCGTTCGCGATTACGTGACCTATAAACCGTACAGCGACGTCGTGGTGCACCTACGTGCGCGAGGCAAGACCTGTTCTTCCTCTCTCGTTGACATAAAGTCGAAACTCTCGTCTAAACTTCCACTACGGCGATAATTTATTATTGCATCATTATAATAATAAGGAGAACATATATGCATGTGATGACCTTAAGTTGCCTGCTCGTCGTTGTCGTCGCGGCAACTCATTAAGTCGCAAACGATGATATAAGTGTGTACACGCGAGGAGCGCGAATGCGTTCTCGCGATAACAAAAGCTAGCCGTTCGGCATTACCTGGATAGATACCGCACTCGTGCGCGTGATAGTAGTTGCGTTAATAGCAAAAAGGTCATTTTTTTATCGGTTCCCAGATAAGAGGCTTTTGTTTCGTAGGCGTGCTCGCGGCGAGCAGTAATATAATTTCGTCGGCGGCAAAATATTGTTGTATCGAAAATGCTCGCGTCGTTATATTTTATTTTTTTTTTACCGGAAACGCTTGCGAAAGGTGAGTTAATGCCGGCGGAAATGCTGTTTGCATAGCTTGACTTGGTATGTTGTCGGAATATTATCGAAGAATAAGAATATTAGGACTAATATAACTGATATAAAATTAGCGGACTAATATAAAATTAATTAGAAAGCGGCTTGATTGATGCATAAACGCGCTAATAGCGTGAGGAGACATAATTTTCGGCGGTTGTTCAGCGAATTAACAGGGAATGAGAATTAAAGTGGGAAATTTTTAACTTTGTCATCTTGTCACTTTCATTCTGATTGATATTTTCGAGTTTGAAATGTGGGAATTGGAAATACGGGATTTCAATAAGATGTTTATGATATCAGGTCAAAAAAATGATATTTGGATTTATATAAACTAAGCTTTTTATTAGTGAGAAAAAGTGTTTTCGGAAAAAAATTCTCAAGTGGTTTTGCAAATGCAATTTAAGAAAAAGTAATGTAAAATTAGAAAGCCAAGAAACGTTCTGCGGTCCACTGGACTGGAATGTGGATAACTGGAATGTCGTAAATTGAAGGGTTAACGACTAGACGAAGGTGAAAAACGTTGATATTTACGGAAAGAGTTCGAAGTTTACGATCATTGGTATCACACAATGGAATTTTTGTGTTAGATACATTTTCTTTTTGCTCTCATATCTCGAAGATGTTCAGAGTGGTAATAGTTATTGTCTTACTCTGTATCTTACAACTTAAGGAACACTAATTGTTTCGTGTAATAACGTGTAGCATACAATATTTGAAGAGTGATAACGACATGTTAACGACTTTTTGCCTAGAAAGATGGACGAGCAGGCTCGCAATCGTAATTACGAAACACACCTGCCCAACGGGCTCAAAATATACAACGCGTGCTGAAACAGAAACGCCTTAAATTTTCGGCAATGTTAAGACGCATCGTTGTGTGGAGCACGCGTGCTCGCCCACGGAGAGTTAGCTAAGAATGGTAGATAAGAAGGTAACCGCGCGCTCTTACACTTTATTACGTATCTTGGATCAACAAAGGATCGGTCTTGCTCGTCGTGGGGAACGCGTCACGAATTTCTCCGGGAAAAAGAGTATCTTGCGCAAGCTCTCTCGAATAAATCGACGCCTCGTCTTCCACAAATTTATTTTTTTTCTCTCGTCGATCATCGTCGTCGCGGTTTCGTTACAATTCCGCTATGACGATCGTCGAGTATGTGCTGCGAATTTTCGTCGTTTCTTCGATTTGTCTTTCGAGCGACAGTCGAAATTTTGACATTACGTTTTAAACCTTTAATTCTACAATATAGTAGGAACTAATATAGCAAGAAGTAGTTTCAATTATAATGATGTTGAATCTTATATTTCACCATGATGGTATCTTAAATTTCTCCGTTTTCGCTGTCTTCAGCGTCAAAATAGATTTTAAATATTCATGTGAATTTAATTAAATCAAAATATTATTTTAAATATTCATGTGAATTGAATTATTAAAATATCGGCAGTATTTGTAGCTTCAAGGTAGCATTAAGATTAAATCTACAGTTTTAATTTTAATATTATCTTAAACAACCTTATTTTAACGTTAAAACAGCGAAAACGAAAATTTAAGACATCATCAGGATCAAAGTGAAAATAATACATTATTTTATTATAAGTATTATATATTATAAGTAATATATAAAATGTAATATATATTATAATGTAATATAATATATAAATAATATATTTTATTTTATTGTATTATATTATATTATTAGAATCGAAATTAAATCCATTTTGCTATCTTAGTTCCTACTGTATTGTAGAATCAATAGTTTAACATAGGGCCAAAATTTCGGCTCCGCACAATGATTTCTTCGGGAAAGGCGCCTCGCAGTAAGAGCGTTTCGATTTTTCCAATTGCTTCGAGTCACTTTACTTCGTAACTCAGAGACTTGTAAAAAAATGCAAGGTAGAAGGATGCGATGACTCATCGACTACGCGTTATTATGTATGTTGCGCGAATGCGGCGGCTTAATAGTCCTTGAAATCCATCGAAATTTACCTAATACGTCGTTTATCGTCCAAGGGACGCTTCTTGCACACTTCTGTCTTCCGTTTTTTAGTACAAAGATCGCCGGTAATATGACACATTCTCTCTCTCTCTCTCTCTCTCTCTCTCAATGCAAATGTTATCGCTTAATAAGCGGTTATTACGGAATTGCGTCCGCGCGCAATTTTGCAAAACATCGCGTACATAATAATGTGATATGAACGATGCTACGTGGTCGCACGTTACGTTAATTCTCCGCGATAAACTTGACGCCGTTTTTAAAACGTTTCTCTGTCCATTATATCGAAAGAGAGAGAAAGAGAGAGAGAGAGAGAGAGAGAGAGAATATTTCGTCATTCGAGACAATTTCCTCGCAGTGTAAATTTTCTTGCTGTTCTTGATTATGTTTTTGCGCGCAAACGAAGTAATTCGACGATTTAAATGCGCGTTCAAAGTAAAAGCATCAATATCTGAACACATTACCTAACTCTGGATATTTCTATTATTTTGGTTTTTTAAATATGAATATTTAAACTTTCGGCATAGAATATATGTACATATATTGAATATATACATATATTCAATACATCGAATATGTATTCTACGTTAAAAGTTTAGTTAAGCATTCGTATTTAAAGAGTCCAGGTGTGTCCAGACATTCGTGCTTCTATCTTAAATCGACATAATCGGAATTAAAGGCGAGTATTTGAATATAAGTTGAAAAGATTGTGGGAGAGAATTTGAAATTTAATTTTCCAAAAATTTCCTTTTTAAATAAACCGTTTCTCGTAAATACATTGTACGTTTAGAAAACATTGAACGTCAAAGCGTCGTGAATTCTGCGGCACAATGACGTTTTACAATCTCGTTTCGGCCGATCAATCTCGATTGGTAGCCTCGCATAGCACCCTACAGTTTTACTTTCGCCGATAACAGTCTGAAGTACGATAAGCGACACGGTTGGGGTGGCTTAGTTTTTAGCACGATGATAGTGACTATGACGACTACTCTCGATCGAACAGCTATAAATACAAGTCGAACGGGTTTGCGCCAGAAATTAACCAAGTGGCACTCGCGTGCTAAAGCCTCCTCTAGGTTAAAGTTTTGCTTTCAAAGGAGTTGCAAAGGTTAGTGATATTGCGTACACGCATGAATGCGTACACAGAAAAAAAGTGCTAGTTTCAAGTAAATAATTACCTCAATATTCCTCAGCAAATTTTTATTTGGATCGAGATAATATTTACCTGATCCAAATAAATTGTCCAAGCAAAAAATATATTTGTTTACTCGAATTAAGTTAAATTTATTTAATTCAAGTAAAAATTTGCTAAAGAATAAGTGGAATTGAAATAATTATTTACTTGAATTTAGCATTTTTTTGTGTATACGTTTAATTTTTTTTAGTGTCATTCGTTCGAGAGATTACGATTTTACGATTTCTTACT